TGGAAGCAGACTTCCAAGTTGACCTGGGACAGAATGAAGAGAAATCTGTGCCTGCTGCACCTGTCCCCAGCCCAGTTGCATCAGCACCAGCACCATCCAGAAGAAATCCACCTGGTGGCAAGTCCAGCTTAGTCCTTGGTTAAATATGACTTTTTTTTTCCTCCCCTCCATGCTTGTGAACTGCACAACTTGAGCCTGACTGTACATCTCTTTAAATTGTCTTTCATTAAAAAAGCACTTTATGTACTACTGCCTTTTTTTTTTTTAAAGAACAAGTAATCCCCCATTTGTCCAGGTCTGCAGGCCATGGCATGAGTGTTCTCTATAGTAGATTGCTGAGGGAACACTTTATGAAGCTTAGTGATGTGTTTTCAAGAACAAAAACTCAGTTCTAAATGTGTTAGAGTTTTTTGTACCTAGGTGGTTTTTTAAACTCCATTGTTGATCAACCTTACTGATCAATTGAGGCTCAGTAAACTCATGTAAACAGTCTGAAGGTACCGTTCTTCTCAGGCCCCTGAAACACAAAGTTGACTTGATCCAAGGCTGTCTCTTTGGTTTCAATCTAATTTATCCTGTAAATGTCCTTTGCTACAAGCATCCACACTCTACTGTGCCATACAAACCTGTAAAGAGCCCTGGGCCTCATATGCCTTGCTGACTGGAAAACAGAGAAACTGTCTTTAGATTTTGAACATAGGAATTATACCAGGTGTAAAATTGATGTCTGACAAGCTGAGCCTAAGACTGAGGAAGGAGTTGAGTGTCCAATTGAATTTAACTGGATTCAGAAACAGTAGAGCAAGGGGAGTGAATCATACAGAAAGGAGTATTCATCAAGGAATACCTGCAGGGGTATTTTTCCTACAAAATGACTCAGTGCTGTGTGCATGATCATGCTGGTGCTTGACCATGAAGTGAAAGTCTCATCTTTAAAATGTGTTGTAATTTCATTAATCTGGGCTGTTTAAAGTAAACAACAGAGAAGTTTTGAAGTGTTGTGTCCTGTGTTTGTTTTTTTTGGTGGGGGGAGGAGAGGTAGATTTTTACTCTTCCGTGTGTTTTGGTTTTTTTCCTTGAACCTGAATTGTTCATTTCTTCAGTTATTTTCACAATTTACACTTGGGTTTGCCTCCTTGATTTTAACTTTTTTAAGCTCAAGAAATGGCAGAATTAATCAGCAAAACTAAGTAGAATCCTTCAGGGGGAAAAATGGACATTCAGTGAAATAGTTTCAAGCATTCTTGATGAAAAAACCAGAGCTGAATAGAAAATTTGACTTGGAAATACAAAACTCAAGTGAAACAGGAAGAGGTAAACAGAAAAGAGAAATCATAAGAGACCTATTAATGTTGAACTGTGTTTACATTCCTGCATGGAAAGATGATATTTGTGACTCATGAGACCTTTGTCAGTATTAGGGTAGTTGGAGGGAAAAAATTATATTTGTGGTGTGTGTGTGTGTGTGTGTGTGTGTGTATATGATAGATAAATAGTGGGCATAGGGTGACTTGAAGATGAAGGGGTGATATCTGGAGAATAAAATTAAGGGGTGAAAGGATTATACTAGGAGAAGGAGAGAGGGAGAAGTAGAATAGGGTAAATTCTCTCACATAAAACAGACAAAAGGCTTTTACAGTGGAGGAGGAATGGGGGAAGGTGAGGGAATGAGTGAATCTTATTCTCATCGGATTTGGCTTAAGGAGGGAATAACATACACACTCAATTGGGTATGGAAATCTATATTACCCCACAGGAAAATAGGGAGAGAAAGGGGCAAGAGAGCAGGAGGATGATAGAGGGGAGGGCAGATTGGGGAGGGGGTAATCAGAAGCAAACACTTCTAAGGAGGGCCAGGGTCAAAAGAGAGAATAGAATAAATGGGTGGGGGGGGTCGAGAATAGGATTAAGGGAAATATACTTAGTTTTTCACAACATGACTACTGCGGAAGTGTTTTTCATGACTGCACATGTATAACCTGTATCTAGTTGTTTGCCTTTTCAATGAGGGTGGGTGGGGAGGGAGGAAGGGAGAAAATTTGGAATCCAAAGTTTTTAAAATAAATGTTTTTAAAAAATTGTTTTCATATGCAACTGGGAAATAAGATGTACAGGCTGTGTGCTATAGAAATCTGTCCTGCCCTACAGGAAGATTGAAGGGGAAGGGAGGGGATAAGAGAAGGTGGGCAGAGATAGAAGGGAGGGCAGATTAGGGGAAGGGGTATTCAGAATGCATGCCTTCTTGGGGTGGGGACAGGGATGAGATGGGGAGAAAATTTGGAACTCAATCTTGTAGAAGTGAATGTTGAAAACTAAAAATAAATAAATTAATTTTTAAAAATTGGAACAGAAAAAAATGGCTGAGTTAAACATTTCCTGTCTGCAGAAGTGAGGCAATGGAATAGTACAGAGAATACCTGGCTAGTGGAATCCAGTGGCATCCAATGCTTCCTCCCTGAAACATTTTTATCAGACTTGCTGGACAAACACTCTCTTGGTATCAGTGTGCCATGCTGATGACTACATCTGAAGGCCAGAAAGTAGAGAAACAAAAGACTTGGGCCATTCAAAGGTTGGATCTCATTGATCACTGAATGACAGAAGGTGACCAGAATTAAGGTCTAATAAAATTTTGTCTGTAGTTTAGAAACTGACTGGTCTTAATTTGGTCCACAAAACTAACATTAAGAAAGAAAGCTTGTGATGGGGCAACAGTGGATAGAGCTCTGGCCTTGGAGTCAGGAGGACCTGAGTTCAAATGTGGCCTCAGACACTTGATACTTACTAGTTGTGTGACCCTAATCAAGTCACTTAACCCTGATTGCCTCAAAAAAAAAATTTTGGTTTAAAGGAAGAAAGCTTGAAAGAGAGAGAGAGAAGAGAAGAGGGAGACTATGCTATTAGCATCAGGTGGATTAGGTTTTGAAGCGGATAGAGTGCCAGACCTGGAGTCAGGAAGACCTGAGCTCAAATCCAGCTTCAGACACTAGCTATGTGATGCTGGTCAAATCATATGACCCTTTTTGCCTCAGTTTCCTCATCTGTAAAATGAGCTGGAGAAGGCAGCGACTCCACTCCACTGTCTTTGCCAGGAAGACCCTAAATGGGGTCCCGAAGAGTTGGACACAGCAGAACAACTACATAACGAATAACCACTGTTGGAAGTTTTTATAGGGCTTGGAGGCAGCCGGATAAGCCACCCAGATTTTATTTTAGCACAAGGAACGATCTTCAGGAGTTTAGGACCTAGGCTTAGTCTTGGCTCCAGGGTTCTTGCCTTGCCTGAAGAATGCTTATTTGGAAGAATGTCTCATCAAGTACTGCTGACCACATTTCCTTTCTTGCAGCCACTGCAAAACATTTTATTTGCTAGACAATGTGAAACTAGAATTTTCACCTTCTTTTGTATCCACCTTTAACCAAATCAGGCTGTCATACTTGTTGGCTTACATTTTAAGAAATTGATTATAGATTTTTTTTTTTGCTTTTTGGTGAGGCAGTCTGGGGTTAAGTGACTTGCACAGGGTCATACAGCTAATAAGTGTCAAGTGTCTGAGGTCGAATTTGAACTCAGGTCCTCCTGACGTCAGGGCTGGTGTTCTATACGCTGCCCCACCTAGCTGCCACCTAGATTAATTCTTAAACGTGTAAAATATGTGATGTGTCTGATCCTAAGAATGACTTTGCTGAAAAAAGTTGCACCAAGGGTCCCCCTTCCCACCTCTGTCCACCCAAGCTCTAAGGGAAGGGCTAATTTCCATGAAGACTTAAAGAGCATTACAGTCTAGTTAACTCCCTTTGCTTGCTTTACCTTTGGCCCCTGCCTCCTACTTAGGAGCATAGAGAGTTGGAAGACTCCTCAGAGACCATCTAGTCCAGCCCCTCACTTTTTAAAAACTTCCAATTTATTTTCAGGTCAATCAAGTAATATTTATTAACTAGCAACTATGTTCTAGGCACTGTACTAAGTGCAGGGGGTATAAAAGATGGCAAGACAGTACCTGCTCTCAAAGAGTTTACAATCTACTGGGGGAGACAATAAGCAAACAGTTAAAAAGCACACTACATATAGGAAGAATAGGAAATAATTAACAGAGGGAAGGCACTAGAATTAAGAAAGGTTGCAGAAGGCTTCCTGTAGAAGATGGGGATTTTATGTAGGATTTAAAGGAAGCCAAGAAGGTCAGTAATTGGAGGAGAGAGCATTCCAGGAATGGAGGAGAATCAGAGAAAATGCCCAGAGGTGAGAGAGGCCAGTGTCACTGCGTTAAAGAGTTCTGCATTCTCTCCCTCTCTCACTCATCGAGAAGGCAAGAAAAACAAAACCCATTACATGTATGCCTAATCATGTAAAACATTTCCCACATTAGTCATGTTTCCCCCCCCAAAAAAAAACCCCAGTATATTTCATTTTGCACTCAAGTCCCTCTACTCCCAGTCTGGAGGCTGACGTCATGAGCCCTTTGGAATGGTGGTTGGTCATTATTTTACAGATGAGGAAACAGGTCCAGCGGCTGTCAGACATGGGGTCCTCACTCCCTATCCTCGCCTGCGTTCTTACCACTGTACCACGACATCCTTACGGAAGAGACGATTTTCTTAATCCCCTGCTTACAGAAAAGGAAGGTGGCTTTTCCAAGATGGGCCTGGTGCAGTGCATATGCCATGTAGGGGGCTGGAGAGGGATCCTGGACCTTTTTGTTGTTGGGTTTTGTCCAACTCTTCATGACTCCATTTGGGATTTTTTTGGCAGAGATACTGGAGCGGTTTGCCATTTCCTTCTCCAAGTCGTTTTACAGATGAGGAAACTGAAGCAAACAGGGTTTAAGTGACTTGCCCAGGGTCACACAGCTAGTAAGTGTCTGAGGCCAGATTTGAACTCTTCCTGACTCCAGGCCCGTTGCTCTCTCCAATGAGCCACCTAGTTGGACCTTTAAAGCAGATTAATTGCCACTTTCCCTGGGGCTCCCCAAATTAGAAGGTGCTCTGCCGCGTGGTCTGATGGGGATGCCCTGATGAGGTTTGTCCTGCTAATTAGCCTCTCATTGGTTGCTGGTCCCCAGGTGGGAGCGCTCGGGGGAGTGGAGCCAGGCCCCGCCCCTCCTCCTGTCCCTGCGGCTGCGGAGCTGCGCCGCTGCTGTTCCGGTTTCGGGATCTCCCGGGCTATGGAGCCAAGAAGACCACATGCGTTGAGGGTGCTGGTGGACATGGACGGTGTGTTGGCCGACTTTGAGGGCGGCCTGCTGCGAAGCTTTCGTCTCCGCTTCCCCCAGGAGCCCTACGTGGCCCTGGAGGAGCGGAGAGGCTTCTCGGCCCGGGACCAGTACGCAGCCCTTCGGCCCGACCTCGCGGTAAGGGAAACCCTGCCGGGCTCATACCACCTCCCTACCTCCCCTAGGTAGGATGGCCCGGGCTGAGCCCCGACCACTAAGGAGTCAGCGCTTCCAAACCTGCACCTTCCCCTCCTTTGGCCCTGACCTCAGCGGATCTTTCGGAAACTCTGGGGCAGGCCAGTCGCCCCACTAAGCGTTCCTTTAGCAGGATGACCTCCCTGGAGAGAGGGCCACAGACTGGGTGTGGAGGCGAGCTGGAACATTGTGTCTTTCAGGAGAAAGTGGCAAGTATTTATGAAACACCAGGGTTTTTCCTAGAGCTGGAGCCCATCCCTGGAGCCTTGGAAGCCTTGCAAGAAATGAAATGCATGAAGGAGTAAGGAAGTGTGTGGGGAGGTAGAGGGAGGGAGCAAGGGAGAGGAACTATTGAGACTGAACCAATTCATGGGGCCTCAGTTTCTCAAAAGGGTCTGTTTGTTTTGCAGTACTGAAGTCTTCATTTGCACAAGTCCACTGCAGAAGTACAATTACTGCGCTAGTGAGAAGGTCAGACTTTGTTGGGTTAACATGTTTTAGAATTTAGAGACTCTCATAATGGGTAGATGAATCTAGTTTTCTAAACCCTGAATTAAAAATTAAAAAAAAAAACCCAACACCAAACATCTTCCTCTAAGAAACCCAGAAAATACCAAGCATATGGCTATCTTGGGTAGGGAGGAATGGGTAGGAGGATAGGGGTGAAAGAAGGGGATTATTCACTGTATGGATATATAAGGACAAAGCTTTTCCAGCGAGGCTACTGGCCAGTTTTCTCTCACAATTTAGCAAAACTACCAAGTTACCTATTCCACTCCCTTGACACCCCAGCTCACTGGAAGAAAGTCAAAGCTTGAGTGTCAGAACATGGCTGACCATCCTACTCCTCTCCATTACAACAGTACCACTGGGTGGACAAGTACCTAGGTCCTGAGTTTGTCGACCGAATGATTCTGACCAGGGATAAGACAATAGTGTCTGGGGACCTGCTCATTGATGACAAGGATACTATTCAAGGTTAGGACATGTTCCTTAGAATTTTTAAGATACAGGTTTACCTGCCAGCACCAGAGAGGGAACTTTTTGTTGGCTGTTGTTAAAATACTGTATAACTCCAGTTGCTTTCTTGTGCCCTGCCCCAGGCCACGAGGAGAATCCAAGCTGGGAGCACATCTTGTTTACTTGTTGCCACAATCAACACCTGGACCCACTCCCCTCCAAAAGAAGGCTTAATTCCTGGAGTGACAACTGGAGAGCCATCTTAGATAGTAAGCGGAAAGCAAGACTAGGACAGGACTGAAAGGCATCTGCAGTAGGGACAAATGGAGCTCTGTAAGCCACATCAGCCCATCTAGGGAAGAGTGACTTCAAACGAGAGAGGGAAGTACAGGGGAGGAAAGCTGAAATAGGCCACGGAACAGATGTGTAGTCCAGGGGTAACCTCCCCAGCACAGACCCAACCATCAAATACCTCCAGAAATAACTGTACCACCATATCACAGTAACAACCTGGGACTGTGGGTCACACATTGTCAATAAAAAATTTTGACTCTGAAGCCTGCTGTGTCTATTTGGAATGGTGAAGGGGGGCAGAAGGCCTAATAGTTATCTTCCCATACATTAACCTATTCATTCTCTTAAGTGCTGTCTTTACTCTATGGTCCCTCCTTTTTACTTTTCCCCAATACCCGCCCCCCCACACACACACATGCACACTTTCATCAGCCTCCTTTTGGCCTCCTGAAAGCCTCCCGCAGGTGAAAGTACAGAAGGGAAACAAAACCTCTCACCACCCTTCATTGAGTGTGGTGGGAGATCTGGTTATGGAATATTACACATACTGTCAGATGCAGTTGAGGTGTTGGTTGGTTTTGCCAATTTTTTTATGGTTCCTTGAGTTCAGGGGAGTTGGGAAGGATGCATTCTGAAATGAATGTGATGTAAAAACCTAGACTGCAGCTAGGTGGCTCAATGGATAGAGTGCCTGACCTGAAGTCAGAAAGACTCATCTTCCTGAGTTCAAATCTGGCCTCAGACACTAGCTGTGGGACCCTGGGCAAGTCACATAACCCTGTTTGCCTCAGTTTCCTCATCTGTCAAATGAACTAGAGAAGGACATGGGGAACCACTCCAGTAGCTTTAACAAGAAAACCTCAAATGGGGTCATAATGAGTCAGACATGACTGAAAAGACGAAAGCATCAATAAAAATGAAATTTTCATTTCAAGGAGAGGCAGAAATATACACCTATGGCCTCAACTCTCACCATGAACTAGCACAGGTAATGATTATGCAAACTTGTAGCAATCCATTCCGGATAATGGTCTTGTTACATGTAAACATGTGCTTAACAGCCTTCTTCCCGGTGTGCCTTTGGTGCCCAACACGAGCTTAAGGGGGTCACAGATTGTATTAAATTTATTCCATGGCCCTTTAACAAGGAAGATTTTACATCAAGCCCACGGGACAGACCCTAAAGAAGGTGGCCGGAGGATAAAGAGTGGGTAAGCCACTGGGATAACTGAGCATCCATACATATTGTTACTCTTGGATGCAATCTCATTTGATCCTCACAATGACAATTATTATGCCCATTTTGTAGATGGGAAAATTAAGGCTCATGAATGTTAAAAGCCTTGTTTAACAAAGATCATATGGCTGGTAATCAGGCAGGGCCAGAACTAGAATTCAGGTCCTGGTTAGTCCTCTCTCTTTTATACATTATCACTCCTATTTAAGTAGAGTAACAAAACTGTTTTTGATGTGTATTGGCATCTATTTTAGTGCTTTGGAGTTATACCTTGCAGATTTTAAGGGAACTTATATATTACTAGCCAAATCCCCCAGCCTGAAAGGTATAAAGCCTTGGCCGCTATCTGTTGCCAGACAATGGCACTGTCCTGTGCTGGTAGTAGCGCAACTTGTCTGTCCTGAGATTCCTCTTGCAAGGCCTCCCCTTCCTACCCCCCAAACTGCCTTATTGTTTAATGGGGCATTTTTCTCCAGCAGAGGGCTTGTGACCTTTCTTCTCTCTAGCCCACTGGCTTAAATTGGTCTTTTCCCAGGTTCAGCTTCCCTTACTTACACTGCCCTTCTAACAAGCCTCTCCAGCAACTGTGCAGGCCCTGGCCGACAACCCAGAGTTCGCAAGGATGGGCACCACCTCCCTGGCACAGTGTCAGTCTCTGGGGAGTGGGATGCCCACAGCGGTGTGTGCACTCTGATTCTGGGCTTCCTCCACCTGGCTAGGGGAGCAGTAGTCTTCCAGGAAGATGGTAGCCAGATTGCTAAGTCTCTTATTTGCAGAGAGGGAGAAGCGGAGCATACATTCCACCACAGGCAGGGCTGTGAGCTCCTGGATGGACTGGGATGTGCTCAGGTACATGAGTGTTGTGACTGCTGACATGACTGTCTCCTCATTGGAGCTGGACAGGCAGTTGATGATGGCTTTGATGCCTCCCATCTGCAGAATATACTCTTTGTTGACTTTATCCAGGCACAGGTTGCAGAGGCCACCTACAGGACAAAACAAGTCAAAGATCTTGTTGGCCTTTGGACCGTAACCCTGGGGGGGACCGTGGGGGGTTGGGGGGAATGACTCTTGAAGGAGAGAGAGAGGGGGGAGGATGCCACATTTCTGCAATTCTAAAACTTGTTCACAGAATCACATCCCAGAATTTGAGAGTTAGAAGAAACCTCTGTGGCATTCTAGTCCAGTAGAGAGTTTGTTTGCAGTCATGTCTGACTCATCGTCACTCCATTTGGGGTTCACTTGGCAAAGATACTGGAGTGGTTTGCCATTTCCTTCTCCAGCTCATTTGACAGATGGGAAAACTGAGGCAAAAGGGTTAAGTGACTTGCCCAGGGTCCCACAGCTAGCCATGTTTGAACTCAGGAAGATGACTCTTCTTGACTCCAGGCCTGGTGCTCTATCCACTGTACCAGCTATTCCTATCTCCTATCCCAAAAAGAATCCCCATCACAGCATACCTGATGATGAGCTAATTCTTGGGGCTGTGGGGACTCTGCCATTTTGGATATCTCTTTTGGAAAATTCAGTTTCTGCTTGAAAAAAATCCAATGAGGGTAAACCCACCACCTTCTAGAGCAGCCTATCCCACTTTTGGATGGATGACTCCTGGAGCCCAGGGAGGCCCATGGATAGAAGCAGACGGACCAAACCTAAAAACAGAGTCCCTTCTAGTGAACCTCAGGACTAGACCCACTAGGAGAGGATCCTGTTACAAGAGAAGCAAGGCAGGAAAGATGAACTTCCATCACTGGTTTTGACGTTCTCTCTCTTGGGATTTCCATTTTCTGGTTCTTTTTTGCTTTGGAGCAGGTTCAGTTCATAATCATCCTCTTCCCTAACAAGTGACATGTAAATATCCAGATTTAAAGTAGGAATATAAAGTATGAGTATAAAAGTATGAGAAAAAACAGTGCCTTTCCTTCAGTCCCCTTGAAAAAAAGCTTCCCAAGTGGAACTTTTACTAGGAATCCATAGGAAAAATGAAAAAGATAAGCACAATGACGTCCATGTTTTCTGGGTCCTGCTCCCAACCTAATTAGAGTTTAGGCCCAGGAGTGGCTGGCGCCTGAGTCCTTGTCCTCTCCCCACCCCTGTCTGTTTAGCTACATCCAGCCTCAAAAACAGCTGAACGTGACATCATGCTGCTTCACCCACCAGCGTCTGCCTTGTCTCTTCCTGTCTCTAACCCAGCTTCTCTTGGAGTATCCGCTAAGTTCCTGTTTTCTGTCTCATTTGTAGAGCAGAGGTGATAAACCTATCATCTCTTTTCATTCCAAATTATTCTACTTGTCACTGCCAGAAAAGTCTTCCTAAAACAGCTATGATCATGTGTGACAGGACTGATATCTGTTAGTAGCACTTCACTACCTCCTCCTTCCTTCCTGGCGTATGGGGATCAGCTTTTACCAAAAGAAGACGAAGCTGCCAGCCTGGACCTAATTTGCCCCCAATTCGATCATGCGGCTTCCTCTTTTTGGATGGAGAGCTCTTGGGGCCCAGTGGGCCCATGAATGAAGGTAAAAGACCAAAGTTTCATCTAAAGGCACAAAAATTCTCAGCCACAGAGAGTTGCACATCCCAGCTGTTGGAGCAAAGTAAACTGCCTTTTGTCAGTTGTTCAGTGGCTTGTGAGCATGTCATTTCATCCCAACATGCATCCTCAACTAACAATGTGCTGAACTTGAGCCACTGCCAACATCATATAGCCTACCTTCTCCCCCCCAGCTACTCAAAATCCTCCAATGGCTTCCTTCCCCATTGCCAAATGAATACAGTGAAAGCTTCTGAACTAGATGCACTGAGGCCCTCCACCATCTGGCTCCAGCTAACCTTATCTCTGACTAGTTCCTTCCACATATCGCAAGTTTTACATACCAAACGACACTGCTATTTTTGAACTATGCCTAACTATGTCTACTTCTGGCCGCCTCATCGGTGTCAGAATTGCAGGACTGGATTTGAAGAGAGCACTGGAAGGAAAGAACAGGATCCAGAGACCTGGATTAGAATCCTGGCTCTGCTACCCATGTGTTGAGGAACCTCTGCCAAGGCCCTTCAGCTTTCAGAGCCTCAGTTTCCTCAATCCGATTCTTCTGTACATAGCACCACACACAAAACAAGCACACGGGCAACCAACTGACCAGACCAACCCCCCACCTTAATAAATAGCGAGCATTTATGTAGGGCTTTAAGGTTTGCAAAATGTTTTACAAATATTATCTCTTCTGATCCCACTAACAACCCTAGGTGGCAAGGTATTATAGTTATCCTCTTTTTACAGATAAGGAAATTGAGGCAAACAGAGGTTAAGGAACATGCTCAGGGTCACATGGCTAGTACTCTGATCCAATGATACTGGCTTCCTTGCTATTCCTCAAAGAAGATAAACCGTGTCTTCATTCTGGGCATTTTCGATGGCTGTCACTCATCTTCCTCCTCACTTCCTCCTCATCTCCACCTCCTGGCTTCCTTCAAATCTCAGTGAAAACCCCACCTTCTACAGGAAGCCTTTCTCAATTCCTCTTAATTCTAGTGCCTTGTCTCTGATTACTTCCTATTTAACTTGTAAATAACTTGCTTGTACATAGTTGTTAAGCAGCTGGTGGTATCAGGAAGACCTGAGTTCAAATCCAGCCTCAGATACTTGCTAGCTGTGTGACCATGGGTAAGTCACTTAACCCTGTTTGCTTCAGTTTCCTCATCTGTAAAAAAATGAGCTGGAGAAGGAAATGGCAAACTACTCCATTCTCTTTGCCCAAGAAAACCCCAAATGGGGTCATGAAGAGTCGAATATAACTGAACAACAACAATAAACATAGTTGTTTGCATGCTGCCTCGTTAGTCTGTGAGTTCTTTGAAGGCAGGGTCTATCTTTTGCCTCTTTGTTGTACTCCTGGTTCACAGTACAATGCCCATAATGCCTGGCACACGGTAGCCACTCAATAGGTGTTCATTGACTGACAAGTATCCAAGGCTGGATTTGAATTCAAGTCTTCCTAATTCTAGGTTTTCCAATGCTTTCTT